GATCTGTGATTTCATAATGCTTTCTCATTCTATACAAGGATAATTTATACTATTAATAAAAACTAATCATATGTAACAGCTAGCCATGTGGGGTGGCTATATCATCAACATGGTACATTAATTCAAACAAGTTGGTGTAGATTGGATCTTGACTCATATATATATTTTTTCTAGTACTATATGACAAAAATAAGAGATTAAAAAATTTAATCGTTCACGTGACATGTTGAATTTTGATCTAACCTGAAATTTATCAAAGAGTTGAAAATTGTTCATGTGAACTTAGGAAGTCTAACCAAGAAGTGTAAAAAACAATTTTTTTTCCTATAAAAATGTTCATTGATAAAATGAAATCATCTTATCCAAAAAGCATCTAGGGTCAAATTTGCTTTTAACTTTGTAAATAGTATAATGGATGATAAAAAAGGGTTTGATTTCGCATATAAAGATGCGCGCACGCATACACACCTATAAATATTTTGAGCTCAAAGATCAGAAAACGTTTTTTATTTTTCACCTCTTAATGGTACTTATCTTTTGATTCTTTGAACTTTTAAAGAGGGTAAACAAATCATTTATACCTAATATTTATTTCAAAATCATATTGGTTTACTAATGTTCGAGTCAAAAAATAAAAGTAGAATGTATATTAATTAACCACTCCTATTAACTTAACGATAGAAGTATGAATTAATCGACGCGAGTAAGTTATTAGGGTCAAATTTGATTTTCAACTTTGCAAAATAGTCTAATGGATGATGAAATTGTTCAATTTCTCATACAAATGACCATCTTTTGAGTTTTGACCCTTGAAACTTTTAAGAGGGAATAAATAATTATAGTAATCAACATAAATATCAAATGTGAGTTAATTTCTTAACTAATTCACGAGATATTTAATTGTTACCTCACAATAATATTATAAATATAAAAGATAATTCTATTCAAAAAGGGTTCATCTCATTTGGCAATTTGAAAGTAAATAAATTGTCATCAAAAGAGAAATTACATGTAAAATCCTTAATCTTATTCGTAAATGGTATCATAATAAGTTCATATTTAACCAAACAAAACCTGATTAGTGCTTGTGAAAATCTGGATCCTTAACAACAGTCACTGGGCAGGTCGCAACAGACAATACATAATTGGTCACACTTCCCAAGAATATCCTGTTTTTATCAAAGAGATAAATATCCAAATGTTAATAACAATACACATCAATATACAAAAATTAAACGTAAATACTTAAAGATATGACACGTAAACCTTCTTCCGATCTTAAATTTAAAAAATTTATCGGAGTTAATATATATTCTGTTAAAAAGAATTAATTACCTTTGGAGAGTACTGAGTCCTCTGCTACCCATAACCAAAGAATTCAACTTCAGATGTTCAACAGCTTCACATAATTTCTCCCTAGCATCTCCCCAATATAATTTAATAACAATTTTTATCTATAAAAAAAAAATTAAACCAAAATAATTAAGAAAATTAATAATTATCAACAAAAATAAATGATTGATTGAAAAAATGAAAATTAAACCTCTTTTTGCCTAGTAGCAGTATCAAGCAAATCAAGAAGTTCAATATCAGTCTCCACATCATATTTCTTCAACACCTCAGCCTCCCTAAACTCCACCAATGGAATTAAAGCTAATCCAAACAAAACAAAATCACGATCCGATCCGATCCAATGACAAAATCATAATTTTAAATCGATTTACTTAAAAGATAACTATAGAGGGATTCGAATACTTAATGAATCGATGAAATTAAAAGAAGAGAGATTTCGACTTACGAGAACCAGATTGAGCCCAGAGTTTATTACGAGATTCATCAGAGGAATGAGTCTTGATGTGGATGATGTAAAAAGTGTCACCTTTATCAGCCAAGTTATCAATTGCCCATTTCAAAGCTGTTTTGCTGCTCTTTGAAAAATCTACAGCCACGCCAATGGTTCTGTCTTTCACCATTTTTGCTTTTTGATTCTTCTTCTACTCTGTTTTTTCTAGTAAAAAGAGATACAGAGCAACTTATTCTGTGTGAACACTAAAAGATGACAAGTACAAAATACGCGTTAAAGTGAAAAAAATAATCTTACATTTGAATTTCAAGAGTCATGTATTTTATTAATAAATTTTGACATGAAATCTTTAAATATAATTTTGACTACATTTATTATAAAAATAAAAAATATATAATTTTTATTCAAAATCATATTTAATACAAATTATTGTGTCACTAATAATTAATTAAAGACGTTAAAAGAATACCTTTCCTTCCTTCGATTTTCTCCACAATAAACATTTCAACAACGAAAGATAACGTACGTTGTTGTCTTTAAGCAAATATTATATTCTCCCATTAGTAAAATAATATTAGTCATTTTCATCGTTGTCCCCCGCCCTCCTCACTCAATTGAGCGAACAATGATCGAGAAATAGATTTAAAATTTAAATTTTATAAATTTAATCGATCATTATTAATGAATTTTATCACATAAATTAATGATATACATTGAAAGTACTAAATTCATTTTTTACTCCTTCCTAGGAGTTTCCACTTTTTTTCTTGGCTCTCTAGGTGACTATCATCGACAATGACTCATACAAGTTTATTTAAACACAATTACTACTCCTAATCATCTATCATTTGTGTCTAATCTACTTAGTAACTCCATTTTTTTTTCTAATTCCTCAAAATGTCTCACACACACGACCATCAAGGAAACATGGACATGAGTCATGATCAAAATATGCCTATGATTATGAACATGGTGATGCAAATGAATTTCTTTTGGGGTAAAGATGTGACAATATTATTCAAAGGATGGCCAAACAATAACCTAGGCATGTACATATTGTCTTTGTTTTTTGTTTTCTTTATGGCTTTTGGTATTGAAATTATGTCAATGGGTCCAATAATGATCAACAAAAGCCCCATACGTGCTATTGGGATTATTCAATCTGGGATTTACTATACTCTTCGTATGGTTCTTGTTTATTTTGTTATGCTTGCTGTTATGTCTTTCAACATTGGGATTTTCATTGTTGCTATTTTAGGTCATGGTTTAGGCTATATCGTTGTTAAATTCCGTGAACTTGTAGTGGACAAGACGACTACGGATTCAAATGGTACTGATCCTAAAGTTTAAAGGCTCTGAAATATAGTATACGTATTAAACCGGTAATCCAGAAATAACAAGTCAAAAGAAAGGGTTGAAAAAGGATGTACCACATGGGTAATTTCAATCTTTACTTCTTATTTTAGTTGAATATATTACCTCGCTAGATGGTAACATTAATTTTTGTTTTATATTAATTTCATCTTTTTCATGTGTGTAATTTTATGGGATGATAATATGATATGATAAAATCAAATTTATTTGGAAAAAAGGCATAGATTTTTTTAAAAATTTGTTTCGAAATGAAGTTATCTTTCTTCAAATCTTCTAAAAGAAGTTCTAAAAAAAATTATTGTGGAGTTTTTAAAATTCAAAAGGATATTAGAGTTGATTACTAGTTTTTAAATTTTTGCCTCAATGATTCAATCTTTGGTTCTTCGTGTTCCAATGAGAATGATGTTGATAAAATTCAAAAGGATATATGAATTGAGTGTGTTTGTAATTTTTACCTCAAAAGATTCAATTTTTAAATTTTTAGACTTTGTTCTTCTTTATTATTTTTTGCCTCAAAAATTTCTTAATGAGTTATTGAAAAAATCATTAAGTTCAGACAAAAAATATAATAATATTCTGAGGATTGGATTTTGAACTGAAAAGTTTAAAGATTTGTTCTTTAATGAGTGGAATGGGTAGATGGAAATGGGTATATGGTATTGGGTTAATCGGGTTATTTCTAAAGGGATCGGATTATTGAGTTAAAAATAGAAAATAAGTTTTTTTTAAAAAAAAATTCGGATAATTGAGTCAATTTAGATCAATTTTGAAAATTCCATCAAATAAAGCATAATTTTAATGAAATTAGTGATGAAAGGAATAAATTTAACTTTATTTTAATATCGAGTATAAAATTAATCATATTCAAAATATTTAACGTCAAAATCTAAAAAAATATCATGAACTATTTTAGTTTCGCGTACCCAAAAGTTTATGGATGGACAAATTATTGTCCTTGTTGAAAGATATTTATTCCAATGGCTGTTTGGAACTAAGTGAAGGGCAAGGTGGTAAAAATAAAAAGTTTATGAATTTTTATAGTTATTTCAAATTGATGAACTCTTGACACAAAGTACATGTGCTATAATAAGGCTTATTCTTTAAGCAAATATAATATATTGAAGTTCGATTAAATTAAATAAATTGAAATAAAATATTAAATAGTGAGCTTCAAATTATAAATTTCTTTTATATTAAATTACATTAGTTAAATATTGTTAAGTAATATATGGTTGTTTAATATAAATTAATTTTAATTAATAAAGATGTCGGTAAAAGGTTATCTATTTATGTAAATTAAAAAAATTAGTGTAAACAATTGTGTATAAGTTTTAATGTTTCCTTAAATGAATAATGTTTGTTATTTTGTTAATCCAGATAATATTTTTTTCCATTAGGCAAGTAAAGAAGTTTAAAGCTATAGTGTATGAGTCACCTAACTTGCATTTTGACCAATTCTAATCGAGTCTTAGAGATTCGATTAAATTCGAATTACGCAGAGCAAGGTTTATTTGAGGGTGACACTTTGAACAAGATTTTTTCATATTTAGGACTTAAACACGAGATTTCTGATTAAGGATGAAACATTTCCATCAGTACACCAGAATTTATGTTAGTGTTACGTTACATTAGTACCGGCCAATTATATTGAAAAAATGCCTTTATATTAAGAAGAGCAAGAATTTTTAAAAAAATGACATTCCTTTGATGAGAAAGTTGAAAATATTGAATGGATAAAATTAAAATCGTAACTTTTGAAGTAACAAGCAAAAAATCAATAACTAAATAAAAAAAATTCAAAACTCAATATGAGACTTTCATCTACGAAAAAAGTGTAAGATAAGATAGATCAAACAAATAAGATCAAATCGTCAATTTTTCACTAGTTATTGAAATCAGAAACAATAGAAAAATAAAAACAGTTTACAAATTTTTATTTAATTTAGAATTCTTAATCAGTGCTTGTGAAAATCAGGATCCTTGACCACCGTGACAGGACAGGTTGCATGAGACATGACATAGTTGGTCACACTTCCCATAAATATCCTGTTTTAATCAAGAAATTAAAATATTAATAACAAGCATATTTACTTTAATGAGAAAACAGACAAAGGTCCAAATTTTACCATCGTAACAATATCAATAAATTCAGTGTAATAAATCAATTTTATCTAAGCACAAATTAACGCGATACATATATATTCAAGATCTTTCTACAAATTAAATATTTTTTTTATTGTATATTTTCTAGATTAATCTAATATTATCTACCGACATCCATGCTACAAAAGTCTTGAATGGTGTGCTTGGTTGAATTCCTACTTATTTACATATTTCTTTTACTTGCTAAAGAAAATATAGATATATTCTCATTTAGTACAATTCTTTTCTCCTTTTATTAGTAATGCATCCACCTATATTTACCCTTTTATTAGATTTGATAGATTATTATCGATTGATTCTCAATAATTCTTCTTTTTATTTAGATTTAAAATTGATGATATGAGTAAACTCACGTAAACATAGTTTAAATTTTACGAAGTAAATTTTGATTTTTAAAAAAAAAGGAAATTATGAAGAGAGCAATTAATTAAAGAAGGTACCTTTGGAGGGTAGTAAGGCCTCTACTACCCATAACCAAAGAATTCAATTTCAAATCTTCAACAGCTTCACACAATCTCTCCCTTGCATCTCCCCAATATAGTTTGGTCACAAATTTTATCTATACAATAATCAATTGAAAAAAAAATTAAACAAAACTAAAATTAACAAAAAAAATAAAATTGAAAAGGGATGAATGAAAATATGTATAATAATAAACCTCTTTCTGCCTAGAAGCAGTATCAAGCATATCAAGAAGTTCAATATCAATCTCCACACCATATTTCTCTAATACTTCTGGCTCTCTAAACTCCGCCAACGGAATCAAAGCTAATAGACAAAGAACAATTCATTATTACAAACTGTCAGTGTATATAAGTTAAAAAAAAAAAGTTGCAACTTACGCGAACCAGATTTAGCCCATAACTTATTACGTGACTCATCAGAAGAATGATTCTTGATGTGAATGATGTAAAAAATATCATCTTTATCAGCCAAGTTATCAATTGCCCATTTCAAAGCTGTTTTGCTACTCTTTGAAAAATCCATTGCAACACCAATTGTTCTATCTTTCACCATTTTTTTATTTTTTATTTTTTGTTTAGTGATGATTTTTCTTGTTGATGTTGTTATAAAAAGGAGATGCAAATTAAATACTTTGTTCTTGCGTGTGCAAAATGAAAGCAAAAAAAAGGCACAAAAAAAGGGGGAAAAGGTATAAAAGATGGTTTGGTTTGGACAGCTATTTAAGGATACCTTACCTAGTCTTCTTTCGTTTTCAAATATGTCCTAACGATTTACATGTGGACAAATATTTATTATACCCCACTTGTGCATTATGGAATTGCAATAATTGACTAATACATAGAGGCTAATTATATATTAATAATGTATACACTTAGATATTAGTACATAATTGATATTTAATAACCTGATTAATTAAGTTTTATATCGTAGAGCTACGAAGTACTTTCTACTGAGAGATGTCATGTCAGAATTTGAATTCAAGATGTTTGATTAAAGATGGTGTAATATCATTCATCTACTTAATGATGAACACCTTATATTTTGATTTAAGTTATCACGCAAAAGATAAGTCGTTTAGTGTGGTCTTTTTTTTTTATGTAGTTGTAGCTTTGCGTTTGTTGACATAAAACAGTAATAACTAAAGATTTTGATATATAATTCAGAAAAAATAAATTAAAATGATTGTTTTATATTGTACTGCTCCTGATTAACAATGAAAGTGAATGTAAAAGGCATTATCATTTGTTTACTGATTAAGTATAAATATCAAATGTGATTAAGTTTTATATGTTAAAAGCTATTTCCTTCTTTTGTTAAACTTGAGGGTATTTCGATTCATTAATTTAAGAGGAAAAACTAGAAATAAACACAAAATTATTCCATCCACCTTTTATGTTTATTTTAATAAAATATTAAGTCAATTTAATACGTCTAATTTTGCCTTCTTAAAAAGGTACAATCACAATTACTAGTGTGCCTTAACGAGCAATTATGTTGCGTTATTAATGAGATTACCCTTATTGAGACAAAATTATTATTGTAATCTTAAATGGGTAAGTCTGACAACGAATTTCTTCTTTATGTGCCAATTTACCATATATATGATATATATGGGGAAAATAATTTTTACGTTTAGATTAGGTTCAAAATAGTCTCCTAAATAAATTTTTTGATAATTTTAATTCTCTAAATTTGTCAAAATAAATATATTTTTTTGCTCCATCAAATACAAACTCTAACGATAATATTCAAATCATTCCAAATTTGAAATATCTGATAAAGTTATTGTGATAATATCATCATAAATATAATTTTTTATAACATAAAATTATGTAACCCTTAATAATATGATTCTCGAACTTAATAAAACTTTGATAGACCAAATTGGCCTTTATATTAAGACGAATAACCTTCAAAATTCTAAGTGGACATAGTGTGTGGTAGGTAATGTCAAACATAGAATTTGGATAGCAGACATCAAGTGGATATTATTTTCGAATAATAAAAGTGAATAAAGAAATAGAAATAAGATGTTATAATGTAGAGAATTGAATATCATGGAGATATTAGGTTGTAATCCACTCATCTGGTCCATTAAATGCCGCCTCCACATGTCCTTAAATAATATTTATTTTTGTTTACAATAAAAGTTTAATTTGATAAAACAATATATTGTCATTTGTTGTGTAATTGTTGATCAAATCAATCTTTGAAACGTTAATCACATATAAGAAATATATGAAAATTTATTGTGATCTATCAATCTTGTATACAATATTTCACTTTCCAATATCATATTTGAATAGTATGGTGTGTGATCGTTTGAATTTTCAACTTGAACTATCATATATAATTATTTATTAAATTATATTTTAATTATTAATAATTTACTTTTTTTAGGTAAAGATATACTTTGATATACATAATCGAAAATCTATAATTCAAATAGAAAACTTATACACTTAATAATTAAGATATGAAAGTCAAAAATTCAAAATGATTTAAATTTACGTTATCTATCACTCATTTTAAAACTTGACCTCTATATTTTTGAGCCTTTTTTTTTTTGGAGAAAATAATGAGATCAATTATTCGTTGCTTCATTTAAAAGAAATACCTCCCATGAGAATATGTCTGATTGACGCTGAAAGAAATGATGTGAAAAGAAGTTCTTTAATTTAACTATGCCAAAAAAAAAAAAATCAAAGAAAAAAATACTCTAATGGTATCTAAAGCATTTTTATATTGGAAGATAGCATAAGTGAATATATTTGAGGACTATGATTGTTAGGTAGTGGAGCCTAATTAATATTAGGTTTTTCTATTTATTCTCTATTTTAGGTTTTCCTATTTATTCTCTATTTTAGGTTTTCCTATTTATTCTCTATAACAAAAAATATTCTGATTTATTAATATAAATATACCTCACCGCCGTGAAAATTTACTCACGGGGTGTTACCACGAAATATTGGGTTTTCTCTTTCTCTCTCTAGTTCTCTCATCTCTTTCTCTTGAAAGTTCTTGTGTTCTTCATTCATCTAGTGTGTGCGCGTGAATTCGATCCTAACAACTGGTATCAAAGCTAAGGAGATTCAACACGATCACAGAAGATGGATAGTTCGAAGCTTGGAATCGAGAAGTTTGATGGATCCGATTTCAGTTTCTGGAAGATGCAGATCGAAGATTATCTGTACCAGAAAGATCATCACGAACCGTTGACCAGGGTGAAGCAGGAATCCATGACGGAGGAGAAGTGGAAACTCAAGGATCGCCAGGCTCTAGGGTTGATCCGGTTGACTTTGTCAAGAAACGTGGCGTTCAACATCGTGAAGGAGAAGACTATGTCCGGTCTGTTGAAGGCACTGTCAAACATGTATGAAAAATCATCGGCTATGAACAAGGTATATTTGATGCGTAGATTGTTCAATTTACAGATGTCTGAAACTGGATCCGTTTCTGATCATATAAACGAGTTCAATATGATTGTGAGTCAACTCAATTCTGTGGATATTAATTTCGAAGATGAAATTAAGGCGTTGATTTTGATGTCATCTCTGCCCGAGTCTTGGGATACTATTGTTGCTGCAATTAGCAGTTCCCGTGGATCTGAGAAACTGAAGTTTGATGAAATTCGTGATGTTGTTCTTAGCGAAAGTATTCGCAAACGAGAAGTGGGAGATTCATCGGGCAGTGCTCTCAACGTTGACCGAAGGGGGAGAAGTAAGACAAAAGGCCAAAATCAACATGGTCGATCAAAATCAAAGAATCAAGGAAAATCACTGAACAGATCAAACGTGACTTGTTGGAATTGTGGAGAAAAATGACACTTTCGGACGAACTGTACAAAGCCAAAGAAAAAACAGAATCAGAAATTTGGAGATGACAATGATTCTGTAAATTCAGCAGAGGACATTGGGGATGCTCTAATCTTTAGTGTGAACAACCCGGTTGAATCATGGATTTTGGATTCTGGTGCATCTTTCCGTTCGTCTCCAAGCAAGGACTAAGGAGTTGTTCCAAAACTTCAAATCTGGAAATTTTGGAAAAGTATATCTTGCTGCCAATAAAGCCTTAGAGATTGAAGGAAAGGGGGATGTTTGCATAAAGACCACCTCGGGAAACCAGTGGACATTGGAGGATGTCAAATATATTCCTGGGATCAAGAAAAATCTGATCTCTGTTGGTCAGTTGGATAGCACGGGATATGCAGCAGAGTTTTGGGAAAGGTTCGTGGAAGATCGTGAAAGGTGCTATGGTAGTAGCTCGTGGCACCAAATCTGGAACCTTGTACACCACTGCAGGGTGTATAAACATGGACGTTGTTGCTGAAGGTGCTTCCGGTTCATGTTTGTGGCACAACAGACTTGGACACATGAGTACTAAAGCAATGAAGATGCTGGGTGCAAAAGGAGCATTAGAGGGTCTGAAGTCTGTTGATATGGGTCTTTGCAAGAGCTGTGTTATGGGTAAACAGAAAAGAGTAAGCTTCACAAAGACTCCTAGAGAGCCAAAGAAAGTGCGGTTGAAAATGGTCCATACATATGTTTGGGGACCATCTCCAGTATCATCACTTGGAGGATCCAGATTTTATGTTACCTTCATTGATGATTTCAGCAGGAAGTTATGGGTTTACTTCTTGAAGCATAAGTCAGATGTGTTTGCAACTTTCAAGAAGTGGAAAGCTAAAGTTGAGAATCAGACCGGTTTGAAAGTCAAATACCTAAGGTCTGACAATGGAGGAGAGTATGACAAATCAGAGTTCAAGGCATTTTGTGCAGCTGAGGGAATTAGATTGATGAGAACAATTCCTGGTAAGGCAAGGCAGAATGGAATTGCTGAGAGGATGAACAGAACATTGAATGAGCGTGCAAGGAGTATGAGGTTACACTGTGGGCTGCCCAAAACACTTTGGGCGGATGCTGTGAGCACAACTGCATACTTGATCAGTTCCTTTAGGGTTCACGATTCCAGAGGAGGTGTGGACAGGAAAAGAACTCAAGTACTCACACTTGAGGATTTTGGTTGCACTGCTTATGTTCATGTTGATCCAGAAAAGAGAGACAAACTTGATGTCAAGGCTGTGAAGTGTTACTTCATAGGCTATGGTTCTGATTTGTTTGGTTACAGGTTTTGGGATGACAAGAACAGAAAGATCTTAAGATATTGTGACGTGACATTTGATGAGTCTGTAATGTACAAGGACAGAGAGTAGAAGGTTATAGAGATTACAAAGCAAGTGGGAGTTGAGGTTGAGTTGGAGTAGAGTAAACCCAGAGATGTCGAAGCAAATAATCAACCAACTCCTACTGAAGAATCTGAAGTAGAGCAAGTTACACCTGAGCAGATGTTAAGGAGATCATCCAGATCCATCAGGGCACCAGATAGGTATTAACCTTCATTACACTATCTATTGCTGACTGATGAGGGGGAACCAGAGCCTTTTGATGAGGCCCTACAGGTGGAGGATTCGATCAAGTGGAGCAAGCCATGGATGATGAGATGAGGTCACTTGAGAAGAACGACATATGGGTGTTGACTGAGTTACCTGCAGGGAAGAGAGCTTTGCTGAACAAGTGGGTGTTCAGAATCAAGACTGAACCAGATGGCAAAAGAAGGTTCAAGGCTCGTTTAGTGGTTAAAGGATATTCACAAAGGAAAGGTATTGATTATGATGAAATATTTTCTCCTGTTGTGAAGTT